TCTGCTCCTATGATGCTGCTTGGCCTGCTGTGTTCATCCAGCCCTGCACTTTGTTGTCTCGGATTCTCCAGCATCTGCGGTTCCTACTATCTCTGGCTCAATTCATGTTCTGACTGCAATTCTAAAATTGTTGTTGGGACAGAGCAAATTGTTTCTAGGCGAAACAGCAAACTGTAAAGACGTGTCACGGCTTTTCTGCTGGTCAGACAATCATATGGTCATTACTCCAGCATGGATTGGAGATGTGCATGGTGACGCTGTAGAATCCGCATGGTAGCACATTCCAAAGGAAATTGAATTTTTTTCTGTGCAAATCCTCTATGCTTGAAACCTTCTGAAAGTCTCCATTTAAGTCAGAATTAAAGAAAATAATTATTCAGGAAGAGGTAAATAACATCCAAGTTTATTAAATACATTAATAAACTTTAATGAACAAGTATTTAAATAAAAGACATACACGTATCTAACAACTAAAGATTTCTTAACTAACTGAAGCAAGGAAACAAAAAGTTATATTTATAAAAATTATGAACTGCTTTTAAGCTGAAGGAGCTATATAGAGGAAATGGTTCTCAGGATTTCTTTTATATCCTTCCTGCTTGCCCCCCCAGTTAAACTCATTGTAAGAGTATAATTCATTAATAATTAACAGCATTATAATAGTTTATTTAATGGTCTCTGTCTGTTGTCCATAGTGCCTGAAACATTAAGAGGATAAAGTGGCTTAAAGTGCTCACTGTAGTATAAAATAAATAGACCTCTATCTATCAGTGTGTCTGTGGCTTTAAAACTCATATCAGCCATGATCAAATGATGGAACAGTCTCGATGGGCCAAATGACCTAATTCTGCTCTCATACCTTGTGGTCTTATGACAGTTCAATGAAGATTAGTTCCTGGATATGTCTTGACTCTTCCATTCCTCAGCATTTTTAACAGCACTTTTATAATATTGGCAGTTATTATAAGGATGTCAACAGAAACATAAAGAAATCAAATGCTTATTAACTACTGATTATCAATGACTTATTTTTCAACTAAGACATAATTGAGTAACAGGTGGCTGGATGGTTAGTTTGCAAAGTGCAATGAGACCAGCAGCACAGACTAGCTAAGGTTGCCATAAAAGTGTCACCTTCTCAAAGTCACTCTTTGCCTCAGGCACGGTGATCCTCAGCTTAAACTCACCACCGATAAGACCATACGATCATACGAGCAGAATTATGCCATTTTGACCCATCAAGCCTGCTCCACCATTTGATCATGGTTAATATCTTCTCATCCCCATTCTCCTGCCTTCTCCCCATAACCCTTGATTCCCTTACAAGTCAGGAACCCATTTTTTTCTCTCTGAACCTGCATGTTAACCTGAAGAGAATCCTGAAGCAGGAATCCTGAACCAGGACTCCTAAGTCCCTTTGTGCTCCAGATTTCCAAAGCCTTTCCCCATTTAGAAAATGTCCACACCACGATGGTGACTTTTAAAGGGCATCTTGACAAATACATGAATAGGATGGGAATAGAGAGATACAGTTCCCAGAAGGGTAGGGGTTTTTTAGTTGTGACAGAAAGCATGTCGGTGCAGGCTTGGCGGGCCGAGGGGCCTGTTCCTGTGCTGTAATTTTCTTTGTTATTTGTTCTATTCTTCCAGAATGCATAACCTCACACTTTCCCAAATTGTATTCCATCTTCAAGCAACAATAACACCTTTTGACCATCACTCTTTGCTTCCTGCCACTAAACCAATTTTGGATCCAATTTGGCAAATTGCCCTGGATTCCATGGGCTTTTAGCTTATTAATGAGTTTGCCATGTGAGAGAAAATCTTTACTGAAGTTCTCGTAGAATACATCAATTGTACTACCCTCAGCTATGTACCTAGCCACTTCCTCAAATAATTCAATCAAATTTGTTAGACATCATCTTCCTCCTTATAAAGCCATACAGATCGTCCATGATTAATTCTTGCCTCTCGAAGTGGCAATAATTCTGTCCCTCAGAATTTTTTTCAATGGTTTCCCTATTACAGATGATAGACTCACTGCTCTGTGATTATCCCTACTACCCTTCTTGAACAATGGAATCACATTTGCTCTCCTCCAGTCCTCTGGCATCCCTCCTATGCTGCTCAATAAATGCTAAATATCCCAAGAGACATCTTATTATTTAATATTATTTAAAAATGTCTTAGGCAACATTTCTTCCTCAAAAATAGATTTTTTAAAAAATCGTTCATGGTTATAAGTGTCACTTGCTGAAGTAGTATTTATTGTTTATTTGTAGTTCTAATAATTAACTAATAATTGCCTTTTGTGAGATTGTATTGTACAGAATTCAGAGATCTGAATTGTACAGATGACATTTTTGACCTTTTTAAAATTGGTCATGAATTTTTAGTTTTGCAACTTAATGATGTATGAAATTATCCTCTTGCTGTAATAACAGTCATAGTATTTTCAACAATCAATACTACTAAATATTTGTTACCGTGCTTATTATTCCTGTATACGTGAAAGTTATTATTACAGGTTGGGAATTCAAAATGGAGGAAGTGATGCTTCCGTTGTTCCAATTTCAACTTGACATTGACAATGAATTTTGGGTGTCAACCTTAGAGAAGATATTTTGACTTTGGAAGGGATATGGCGATAGAAATCATACCAGATCTAAAAGGGCTAACTTATGAAGAGAATTTGTATTAGCTTGTGCTCTAATCCCTTAAATTTTGATGACTGATTGGTGAGCTAATCAAGGTATTTAAGATGATTAAGAGATTTAGTTGCATTGATAAAGTGAAATGATTTCATCTGGTTGGAAAATCTAGCACACGACTGCACAGTACTACATCAATTAGAGATGAAATTAGGAAGCATTCTTAATAACTTATAGAGGAAACCCCATAACCATAACATTAATTTTTCCACAAAAAGGCTGTTGATGACGAATAAGTAGTGATTTTAAAGACTGAAATTGATTGTTTTTTGTTTCAAGGTCTGTGAAACGAAGGTGGCTAGGTACAAGTCAGCCATGATTGATGGCAGAACAGATTTGAGAAGCAGAATAGCCATTTCTTATTCCTATGCTTCTGCACTTAAATAATCAATGTAAGAGGGGTAAGCCGCAACATGTGGTTGAAGATTTTTTTTGTGTTTTGCAGGGGAGGTAACATTAGATGAGCTATGTGGAGAGCCCTATCTTCCCAGTCATGGTATCTGCACAGTGCCCTGTCCATCTGACTGCATTCTGAGTGAATGGTCAGAGTGGTCAGTTTGTTCGCGCTCATGTTCCAGCAAAAATGCAGAGGGCAAGCAAAGCAGAACCAGATACATTATAGCAGTAGCTGGAGAAGGTAAGCACGTATGTCTTCAGAGCATTAGCAACTATCCAATAGTATCTTTCACTATGAATGAAATGAGTTATAATTGTGACAAATAAAAGCTCATTGTTATCCATTTGTTAGAGGATAGAAAAGCTGTATTACAATTGTATTAACTTAAAAATACTTTCGCTGCTAATACGAGCAGTCAATAAAGTATTGATAAGTGATTCTAATGCTTTTAATGAAGTTTTCAAAGCAGTTTTTAAATAAATATAATAATTTGTAAATTATCTACACCCATTTGTGGATAGCACAATGTAAATAAACTCTTCATGTCCTGAAAACAATGTAGACAGATTCAACACCTGGATTTTGGTATTGAGCTGGGGAACTCCAAGGTTTTTTGTCTTCCAAGACCCAAGGCTACATTGGAGCCCTATTCATGCCATATTTTTGACTCTGTGAGATGAGTATGAGCGCAGCTTGTGTTTTGAGATCTAAATAGAAGCTCATTAGTTCACTTCAGAGTCACAACAACCCAGCTCCCTGCATTATTCTTTCACTCATTAATGTTACTCTGATGCCCCTTCAAGCTCTCTTTGACCATTCAATATCCCTCATCTTCCCCCATGCCACTCTATACTCCTTCATTCACTCGTGATCCCTCCATACCTTCCACAGTCAATAACCCAGTATCTAATATGGTCAGAATACCTTTGAATTGACAAAAATATACCTCTAATGGTCAAGTAGATACTCATTCAAAGATACTTCATACTGAAAAAAGTCATTCATAAAAGTTATTCAAACAACTAAATCACCTCAAATGATTAACCTGTTGTAAAAACAAACACATCTAAATGTACTTCATGCATCATTAAAATCAGAGCCTAAGTTATGTCAGGAGTTTTCCAATTCATTTTTTTTATGGTTTTGACTACAATATGATACTTTTTCCAGTGGGAAAAGTACTCAATTGCATATCAGCACATGATACTGGTCAAGGTAACCGTCATTTTATGATTTCAGGAGAGATTGCTATGATGAGCCAATATAACCAAACACAGGGGTGTACAGAATAGATGGGTTAATCATGGGAAAATATGATTTAACTTTCTCTATCTGACAGGGGTTCACCTATACATCCTCCAACCTGGACTACTATGTCCGTTGCTCTCGATGTGGCTTCCTCTATATCGGTGAGACCAAGCACAGATTCGGGGATTGTTTTGTGGAGCATCTACGCTCTGTAGCGACCTTCCAGTCACGAACCATTTCAACTCCCCCTCCCATTCCCTGGGTGATATGTCCATCCTGGGCCTCCTCCAGTGCCACAATGGCGCCACCCGTAAACTGGAGAAACAACACCTCATATTCCTCCTCAGAAGCCTACTGCCTGATGGCCTGAACATAGAATTCATCAGTTTTAAAATCTCCCCACCCCCGGCCTCATCCCATGACCAAACCTCCCTCTCATCCCCCCTTCCTTGACCTGACACAACCCGTTCATCTTCTCTCCCACCTCTCCGCCCCACCCTTCCCACTGACCAATCCCCATCAACCCGTGCCTGTATCCACCTATCACCATTCCACCTACCTTCCCCAGCCCCATCACTCCTCCTCTATTTATTTCCCAACTCCCTGTCCTCCCCATCTCTGAGGAACGGTCCCAACCCGAAACATTGGCTTTCCTGCTCCTCTAATGCTGCCTGACCTGCTGTGTTCCCCCAGCTCCACATTATGTTACTCTGAGGTCCACCTCTCCACTCTTTCTCTGTGTCTTATTTTATCAACCATAGAACCATTTCTGTGCAACTTTTCTGCAATCTCTCTGTAGTCATTACATCTTTTCCAAAGTGTGCTGCCCAGAAATGGATGCAGTTTATCAAAGCAGCCCACTTGATTGGCATCATATCCACAAGCATCCACTTATTCCACCACTGATACTCAGTAGCAACAGTGTGTACTATCTACAAGATGCACTGCAGAAATTCACCAAATATCGTTAGACAGCACTTGCCAAATCCACAAATACCTCCAAGAGCAGCAGATACATGGAAACACCACTACCTGCAAGTTCTCCTTCAAGCCACTCACCATCCTGACTTGGAAATATATCGCCATTGCTTCACTGTTGCTGGGTCAAAATCCTGGAATTCTCTCTCTAACAGCATTGCGGTTCAAGAAAGTAGTTCACCACCACCTTCTCAAGGGCAACTCGGGACAGACAAGTAATGCTGAATCTTGTGAATAAATTTAAAAAGTGCTTAAAACTTTATCATATTCCTCAGTTAAAAGAGAATTTCAAGGTATTTGAAAAAGTAGGAAAGTGAAAACTAATAATCAAAGGAATTCAAGCCTCAAATTGCAGCAGTAAGGTAAAATCTGTCCATCCAATTTATTTCATTTCCAATTCCAGTTTTAGTTCAGTTTCAGCTGCTATGTAACACACTACATGTATTTATGGTTATTTTGATATTATTTCCAGGGTTACATGTGCAATCAATGGATTTTTTTTTAATGCTCTGAACTTAGCTTTTATGATGCACCATAATTTATTTACAGCTACTGTTCTGCTTCAATTAGTCTTTATTCAGCATTTTTAGTTTATCAATAACCTGTGTCCCTGATCCCTGTAGCTACAAAATATTACAGAAACATTTGGGTTGGAACAAATTGCAACCAAGGGCCACAGCTAAAATTATAAACCATCAGAACAAATATCATGTGAACCTGCAATCTTGTCACAGCTCATAGCTCTTTCTAACCCAACTGTTATTTGATATTGTGGTTTGGCTATTTTTGTACTTGCAAGTAATTATAATACTGTAACATCTGGTAAGGCTCTGAAGCCTGCCATTGTTTGCAATTATCTGCTATGTGAGTCCTTTGAAGGCAACAGTAATTCTTGATACACGATTGCATAAAGGTTATACTATTTAAATAATACTGGGTACAATTATGGCACAGGACAGGAAGGGGGCAATAATACAGGAAAATGTGTGAGTACATTATTGGAAAATGATGGAATTAATTATAATGAAAATGTAGTCTTATGAATTCAACTCACACATTGTGAATCTTGGATTTAAATATTTGCTCGGTTGAAGAATCTGCTATAAGATTTCAGTAGAAATTAATGTCAGGACATGGCGATGCTTGCATTGGGTTTGGAAATGGAATTTTTCATGGCTGAGAAGAATAATTCATAAGAAAATTCCTTCTAGTCGTTTCAACCTAAGATTGAAAATGCATAATGATAAATGAGGGAAGTAACAAAATTAAGCTTGTTTCCGAGTAATGGCTGAGCTGGTGAAGTTAGTACTATACTGACCACAAGAGACCAATGTTCTTTCCCCAATCTGTGGTGTTAGTTGGTCTCATTCAAGTAATGTATGGGTGTATTATGAGTGTCTGGGAGTTGACGAAGAGAAAAGTCATCTGGGCTTTTCTGAAGTGTAACGCTATCTCATCATTGAAAATGAATTTTGGGCAAGAACAAATGAAGCCATGCAACTTGATTGGATGCCTTTCATGGTATCCAGAACTATCTCCCTTATTTTTGATGATAAACAAAAAGCTATGACCTGTGCATTGCTTGCAGGCTTTTAATGCACAAAACAAAATTAACATGCAACTTGAGCAGATAACTTTTCACGCATACAGCCCATTTACTGAACTTCAACCATCACAAATTAACATTCTGCTGGGTTGTCATCTTACATGGTTATATGTTCTCTTTGCCACTGTGAACAGAATGCAACAGATTTTCCACTGACAGCAACCATCTTGTACTATCCATCACCCACAAAGATGCTGCCTTTCTCTTGAAGATAAAATACCAGCTGTTGCTTTCCCACTTGGTGCCACATTTTCTTGACAGACTGCAGGAGTGGTTTCTTTAAACTGAAGCAGAGAAATGCAATCAGTCCTTTGCCTGGTGCCTCTATGTTATCCCAGCACAGCATGATGTTTTCAAAAGCAGCTAGCAAGACTTCCTTCTGATAACAGTATTGCTTTTTAAAGATTTTTTTTTTCACTTAGTCATTCATCAAAATGAAGGACATTGATAGTTTGGATGAAGCATTTCCTACCTCATTGTAACAATGACTTCCAGAGTTATTTCTGAATCGAAGTCATACCCACGGACGACAGTAGAGGACATTGTTTTGTTTGAAATCCTTTAAGTTACTCCTCAAGTGTGAAAGACTCATGATTTATAAACAGAACAGGGATGAGTATTTCCAAAGTCATTCAATTATTTGGTGCTTTTTTTCCAGCAGAAGGGTACATTTGTCATTGTTGGAAAATAGAACTTTCATTCTGGGTAGCCAATAGCCCACCCATCCATATTTGATTTACTAGGGTTAGCGGTATTAGGGCTAAATGACTGGAAAAATCTTCCTCCTCCTGTGCTGAATCGTGCTTGAACTTTCAAACCTCATGGGACTTTTTTTTTCTTTATTCATTCATGGGATGAGGGTATCGCTGGCTAGGCAGCATTTATTGCCCAGAGGGCAGTTAAGAGTCAACCACATTGCTGTAGGTCTGGAGTCGCATGTAGTCCAGACCAGGTAAGGATGGCAGCTTCCTTCCCTAAAGGACATTGGTGAACCAGATGGAATTCTCCCCAACAATTGACACTGGATTTATGGTCATCATTACATTCTTAATTCCAGATATTTATTGAATTCAAATTCCACCATTTGCTGTGGTGGGATTCCAACCCTGTTCCTCAGAACATTATCTGGTTCTTTGGATTAACAGCCCAAGTGATAATACCACTAGGCCATCACCGCCCCCAGTTGCAGCTGCTTACCAGTGTGCAAGATTTATTTGTAAAACCAATCTTATTGCACCTACTTCAGGGAAGCAGCTGTTTTGATACCAAGTTATAACACATGGCACAGCATTGTGTGAAGTAGCCATGGGCAGAATCCTTTCGGTCTATGGTAGGATGTGTGGCAGAATTGGATGAGAAGTCCAGTGAGGCCCACCTTGATGCTGGGAGCAGTTCACACCATCTTTTA